CCCTTATCAGCAGAACAGAGAAAATTAATCCTGACAAAATGGTATTTGTTATGCCTGTCTTTCGAAGGGGCATGTACACTGCTCAAAAGGAAAAAAAAAAAAAAAAAAAAAAAAAAAAAGGACAGTGCTATATCTCCCATTATACTGGGACCGATTGACGAAATTCAAACCTGCGTTTTTCATGTCTCGAAAGAGCGACTTAAGGATATATATTAGATTTATATATAAGCACTATGGTCTAACATAGGTATTTTAACACAAAATCGGACTTTTTCTGAAATAACATACCACTTTTTTTCCATATTTCGATTCCATAAGGTTTAGAATAATCATTTATATAAGTCAAATTATGATATAAACATACAACACTCTAGAGACTGTATTAGTGGAAGTTCAATGGTTATGTAGAAATGATCTGCAGCTACTTAATGGCTGGATAAGTCAGTAGCTTCTGTGGACAAGTAAGAATCATTATATAAACGAGACACACAACATTCTGGATTCAATTAACAACGAGGATACGATGTTTTTATTAAATGAATTTAAGAAGTTTTAAAACATAAAAAAAAATCAACTCATTTTTTATCCTAAAATGTATTTTTTTGTGCGTTAGCGTATTTTCAATATATCCTTAAAATACTAATTTAGAATGTAATTGTCAAGAACTGAATCCTAATCATCAGTAATATAATAAGTAATTATTACGGTTATTAATAAATCCTTCTTATAAGTAATTGCAAATATTTCAGAAAACTTTCTGTGAATGCAAATATTTTTCTATGCAAAATTTTTAATTTTATATTAATCAAGATTGCACACGATATTATTTATTTGCACTTCAATTTTTACCGTCAGCTCTAGTAGAAGTTACAAATCAATTATATTTAATTAAGGATTCGATTGGACTATTTAATTATGGCAAAGCACACGAGGGCTATCTGCCTAAAGGGAGGGATGACTTCGGTCCGAGGTTCGAATCCCGCGAACGGGTTGGCTGCATAGGCGTTTTCGTGGTTTTTCCCATGTGCAACGTGTACATGAGCCATTTTCCCTTAGAAAGTCCTCCACGAAGGCATCCCTCCCCTTAGGCAGATAGCCCTAGTGTGCTTTGCCATAATTAAATAAACCAAAACCTCTTTATGAAACCAGCCTTTCCGTTCATCTAATACTTTCAAAATGCTAACCTCTAAAGATTAATAAAGGCTCTGACTTAAATACTGATGAAATGGATTGAACTGGATTATTAAGTTACGGCAAAGCAGGGTTATCCGCCTAAAAGGAAGGATGCCTTTGTGAAGAACTTTCTAAGGAAAACTAGCTGGCATACACGTTATACATGAGAAAATCCACGAAAACGCCCATGCAATCAGCCCGTCTACCGGGATTCGAACTCCGGAGTGAACTACCAGTGTTCAGCGACTTTACCGCTCGGCCGTTTTTGGGCCTTTATGAAATGGAAGTCGATAACTTTATTTAAAATGATTGTCAGAAATATCAAGATATTTCGAAAATTTGGATGCTTTTTAATATACTTGCGGAATGCCTAAAGAAAAAGAGCAAGAATAAAGTAGAATGCCTGAAGAAAAAGAGAAGAAAAAATAAATTTTACGGTAAAATTTAGTATTTATATATTTTTTTAATTTAAAAACTTTTTAATCTTATGATATTTGATTCTTACGATTTCAAAAATAAAATATTTGACTAAAATATGAATAACATTTAAGAAGCCAAATGTAGGATAAAATTGTGTAAAGCAATGGGCACAATGATAAAATGTTTTAAAGCAGTGTATGCAAGTCATCCTAAGTTAAAATGTCGCAATCCTAAGTTAAATGTCTCTCTTATTTATATATATCTTTTCTGAACGGAACATTGAAAGGCGTGTTAACTGTGCTTTACTGTATTTTCTGTTTTTAATATATGCAGTTTTCAAACGCATCGTAGTGTGGGTTACAAAGTATTCCTCCGAAACAAACGCAATTCAAATAAATAAAATCAAATTCTGGAAAATTTATATTAATAAATATATTGAAAATGCTCAATTCGAAGGAATAAATAGAAAATTTTAAAACAATTATCTGAAGAGACAATGCAACATAAACAATTAAAAGAAAAGTTAGAAGAATTTAAAAATTACCTAAAATAATAACTATGACAAAAAATATATATATAAAGAAAATTATTTGAAAAAAAAAAAATAAACGCTGCTGCGCCTTTATTTACGCAGTTCGAATAGGTAAGTAGAAATTTTTAAAACAGTTATTCGAAAAAAACCATGCAACTTAAACAATTAAAATGAAATTCGAAAAAGAAAAAAAATTACTTAAAATAATAAGTTATAATTAAAAATATAATTTAAAGAATATTAATTTGGAAAAAAGGAACGATTGTGACTTTTTTCCTCTCACGGGAAAGGAAAACTAGGTTGCCATATATTAAGAAGTTCGCCAAGTGAACTATTCTTGGCGCAAACTGAACAAAAAAGTGCCAATATAAATTTGTGAATTCTCCGTAAATTTCGCTCCAAATTTTACAAAATTTCATATTTAGGCGTAATTTGAGTCGCAGAATCGAAATATGGAAAAAATTGGTATGTTATTTCAGAAAAAGTCCGATTTTGTGTCAAAAATACCTATGTTAGAATAGTGCTATATATAAATCTAATATATATCCTAAGTCGCGCTTTCGAGACATGAAGAACGCAATTTGAATTTTGTCAATCGGCTTATCAGTAGAATCGGGAGATATAGGACTGTCCCTTAGACAAAATGGTTTCGTTTTTTTTTTTTGAGGGGCAGTGTACATAAGCAGTGTAAAACGAAAACTATTTGTGGAATTTGTAAACGTTTTATGCATGATGAATTGATTTGTGATCAACCCAATGTTTATTCTTCTTCCCCCGCTCTGGAGTCTCGTCGGACCGTCGACGGGAATAAATTAAATGTGTCTTCCGTAGCATGTGTCAATGAATCAGATGATTGCGACATACTACTTGAAACTTACTCGGCAGTATTAATAGGCAGTAATAAAAGCAAAGAGATTAATATTTTGTTAGATAATGCGTCACAGAGATGTTTTTTGGAAAAAGAATTAGCCGTAGAAATGAAACTACCCGATATTAGACAAAAAGTCTAGCTGTTTATACTTTCGGCTCTAGAGTGCTAATACAAAAACGAATGACGTAGTTCGGTTTACACTTTGTAATTTATGTGATTCGGACAAGAAAATAACGATTGAAGCACTTTTGACTGACTGTATTTCTGGATCTCAGTTTAATCTCAGTATCACATAACAAATTAATATGCAAATACTTTCGAGGAGAAACATTCAATTGTCAAACTTAAGTAAATCGTCAGGAAATGAATTGTCTCTGCTTATTTGGGGCACAGTATTTTTGGGATATTCATACGGGAGAAAAACAGCGATTAAACAAATTTTTGTATTTGATTGATACTCTGTTTGGAAGGGTTGTTCAAGGTTGAATACCTCCATCAGATTTAAATACGAATCGGGATATTTCTATTATGAAAATTGAATGTTGCGCCGCATTAAATGAAAAACTAACGCAATTTTGGCAGTTAGATTCAATGGGGATAAATGATACTCATACTGGCAATTTCAAATTTAATGAGGAATTTATTTCTCAATTCGAAAGCAATTTAAAATATGAAAATGGAATGTATACAACTAAATTATTCTCGGACGGTAAACCAGAAAACTTGTCTAGCAACTTCGCGGTAGCAAAACGAAGATTTCGTAACTTTAAGTGTAAAAAATGAAAGAAAATGATTGGATTTATAATGAATACAAGAATATAGTTAAGGAGCAATTAAAACTGAATATCGTTGAAGAATGTCCTTCCCGGCTTAGAAGAGAATTCTTATTATATGTCCTCATTCAGCTGTAGTAAGATCGGATAGGGACTGTGATGTATATTTAAAATAACTATAACTGTAATGGCGCTCATGCTATGCGATTCCGTTGTTGTGATGCACGTGTTACTGTGCTAGCTGAATGTTCATGTGAACTGTTTAAAAATGTAATAATAAAAGTTTGAATTTCTGTGAGATATACTCATTAGTTGAGTCTTCTTTTAAAGTACAGAAGTTAATTAAGTTCAACAAACTACACAAGAAGTTACATGGTGTCAGGAGCAAAATGGATTTCAGACCACCTGCTCCGCTAACATTCTCCGTCGGAAATGTTAAAGAAAATGGAAAAAAATGGAAGCAAGAGCTAGAAAACTATTACTTGCAACGGAAAAAAGATGCCAAGCCAGATAAGACTAAAATTGCAATCCTTTTGAATTTACTCGGTACTGAAGGACTCGAAATTTATAACACGTTTCGATTTGAGCCACCTGAGAATAAGGAGAAGTACGAAGAGGTCTTGAAGTCTTTTGAAGATTATTGTTCACCACGGCAGAATGTCGTATATGAACGTTACAAATTCTTTCGTCGTGTAGCCAGCAAGAAAGACAAACAATTGAATGTTATGTCACTCAGTTAAAGACTTTAGCTTCAACTTGTGAGTTTGCTTAAACAAGAAAATGGATTGATTCGCGACCGTATTGTATTAGGCATTCGGGATAGGAGTCTGACCGAAACGTTTGCTTCGAGAATCTAACCTAGGATTAGAAAAAGCTATAGAAATAGTCCGTGCCGCTGAAACAAGCAAAGAGCAACACTGGAACATGAAAGATGATCCAGCGACTGTGAACAGCGTGAAGCAATATAGAAAACAGCAGCATCAATCAAAACAGTCAGTGCCACCGAAATAATCGTCGCAGCAGAAGCAATCAGCACTAGAATATGACTGCAAAAAGTGCGGAAGAAGGCACAAATATCGGGACTGTCCAGCTTTCGGAAAGACGTGTGCGAAATGCAAAGTAAAGAACCATTTTGCCGCGAGGTGTCCCAAAAATATTTATGAAGTTGGAATACCAAATAATAAACTTAGAATATATAATGAACATAGTGTATTTGTTGACTCTGTAATTTATGAATCCACCAGTAAACGGTCATAGTGAATTTAAAATAAGTACAAAATCAATCAAAGATCTAACAAATTCTATTCATGAAGTAAATAAGGATATTCACAAGGTAAGTGAAACATGGGTGAAAAGTATTACAATGTATGTAAATAATAAGTATTTCAAGGTTGATTTTAAGTTAGATACTGGTGCAGAAGTAAATATTTTGCCTTTGTATGTTTTAAATAATGTTAAACTTAAGCCTAAACTTAATGAAACTGATTTGTTCTTAACTGCATATGGTAATTTTAAGTTAAAACCAGAAGGTACTCTTATAATTAATTGTTCAACTGAAAGGCTTAAGAATGTACCTTTACAATTTTATGTTCTTGTTCAATTTTATGTTAACAGCTTGTTCTGCATTAAAGCTAATTGAAAGGATTGATTCTTTAAAGTGCAATATCATTAATAAAAATGATTTAAATGCAATCATTAATAAAAATGATTTAAAGTGCAATACCATTAATAAAAATTATTTATTGCTCAGTATAAAGATGTATTTACAGGCACAGGGCAATTTCCTGACGAACCATATCATATAACCCTTAAAGATGATGCAATACCAGTAATACACCCCCCAAGACGTGTTCCTCAGACTTTACAACCTAAATTAAAAGATACTTTAGATAAACTTGAAAGAGAAGGGATAGTATCGAAAGTAAATAAACCAACTGATTGGGTTCAAAGTTTGGTTATAGTTGAAAAACCTAATGGGAGTCTGAGATTATGCTTGGATCCTACAGATCTAAATAAAGTAATTAAAAGGGAGCACTATCAAATTCCTTCTCCAGATGATATAATTAGTAGGTTAGAAGGTAAAAAAGTATTTTCAGTTGTAGATTTAAAAGATGGATTTTGACATGTACCACTAGATGAAGCTAGTTCTGAACTATGTACATTTAATACGCCTTATGGAAGATATAAATTTAATAAAATGCCATTAGGAATATCCTCCGCCCCAGAAATATTTCAGAAAAGAAACCAAAATATATTTGGTGATATTGAGGGTGTGGAAGTTTATTTTGATGATATCATAATTGCAGGATCTGATGAGGTTACTCATGATATAATTATCTCTAAGGTTCTTGAAAGAGCTAGGTCTCTAAATATAAAATTTAATCCTGATAAATTACAATATAGGGTACCGGAAGTCAAATATGTAGGCCAAATTATTTCTGAGTCAGGTGTAAAAGCCGATCCTAGTCATATTAAAGCAATTATTGATATGCCAACACCAAAATCAAAAACTGAAGTAAGGAGGTTGTTATTCTTTTTTTTATTTACTACGTGCTCCGCCCTTAGAAGGAGGTTGTTAGGAATGTTAAATTTTCTGTCAAAATTCATACCTAATGTATCTAAAGTTACTACTGCTCCTTTAAGAGAAATCATTCAAGAAAAGGTAGAATTTAATTGGGGAGAAACTCAGGAAGAGTCATTTAACAACATCAAACAAGCTGCTAACCAAAGCTCCAATTTTAAAAGTTTTCAGTGGTAATGAAGATATAATTATACAGTGTGATAGTTCGAAGGATGGCCTAGGATCGTGTCTAATTCAAAAGGGCTAAGCCTGTATCATTTGTGTCTCGCAGCCTGACTAACAGTGATTAAAAAAAAACTATGCACAGATCGAAAAAGAGCTATTGGCCATAGTATTTTCTTTTGAAAAGTACCACAATTTTGTTTATGGACGGAAAGTCACAGTACAAAGTGATCATAAACCGTTAATGGCAATTGTTAAGAAACCATTGCATAAAATTTCGTCTAGAATGCAAAGGATGATCTTAAAGTTACTAAAGTATGATTTTGAGATAAATTATGTTCCAGGTAATCAAATGCTTTTTGCTGACACTTTGTCACGTGCATATCCTGTGAATGAAACTATCAGTGATGATCCTGAAATGCTAAATGTTGTTCACATTATTTCGAAATATTTACCTATGAGTGAAAGAAGAGTGGTGCAGTTTAGAAAAGAAACTGAATCAGATCCAGATTTGCAAATAGTTATGAAATATATTAAAGAAGGTTGGCCTAAATGTTACAAAAAAGTAGATAGTAGTGTAAAAACATACTTTAAAGTTAAAATTGATCTTTATATTAATGACGACTTGTTATTTATTAATGAAAAATTAGTTGTACCTTATGGTTTGAGAAAAGATATGTTGCAATTAATTCATGAAGCGCTTTTTGGAATTGAGAGATGTAAAAGTAGAGCCGTGAAATTTTTTACTGGCCAGGTATGACAAATGAAATTGAGCAGCTGGTTTCCAAATGTGAAATATGTGAAAAATTCAGAAATAGAAATCATAAAGAACCTCTAATGCAACATGAAATTCCAACTAAACCATTCGAAAAAATTGCCCTTGATGTCTTGCAATTTGGTAATCAAAATTACTTAGTAGTTATCGATTATTACTCTAAATGGATTGAGGTTTCTAGCATAAAAGATAAGACAGCAAATGAAATTATGATAAAGTTAAAATGCATCTTTGCCAGGTATGGTATTGCAAATGAAGTCGTTTGCGACAATAATCCCTGTAATAGCTACTTATTTAAGAAATTTGCTGAGGATTGGGATTTCGAACTTAAATTTAGTAGCCCCAGATATCCTCAAAGTAATGGGCTGGTTGAGAAAGCTGTAGGAATAGTGAAAAATATCATGAGAAAAGTGCAAGATATAAGTGTAGGTTTAATGGAATATCGAAATACCCCAATTAGTGGAATAAATTTGTCTCCTGCACAACTTTTACTTAATAGAAGACTAAGGACAAAATTACCTAGCAGTAATAAATTGTTAAATTCCTAAATACTAAAATAAACAAACCTTATTACTAAATTTTCGTGCACTTCAAGCTAGGCAAAAATATTATTATGATAGAACCGCACAGAAACTGCCTGAGTTAAAACCTGGAGATATGTATAACCTTGTTCAAGCTTTAGAACTGGGGCAATGGGATAAAGGTGAAATCATTTCAAAATCATAAAGCTCCTAGATCCTATATTGTAAGAAATTCAAATGGGGAAATATTACGAAGAAACAGACGCCATAGAAAATTTTCAAATTCACCTTACAAAGTTAATAATGATTATGATGATATAGTATTAGATAAAGAGGAAAATTCAAATGGAAGCCCTGAGAATGTTTCTGTGCCTGTTAATATAGGAAATCAACAGAATAATCTATCCAATAGTACAATAACAAGAAGTGGACGGTTGATTAGACAACCTTCAAGATCTAGAGACTTTGTCATTAAATAAAATAATGTAACGTATTACATATATCATTTTTATGTAACTTTTTTGTTATTGTATGTCATATTGTAAATATACTTGTATTGATATTATTTGGTAATTTTATTATTGTTTATAAACTGGAGGAAGGGATGTGATGTATATTTAAAATAACTTTAACTTTAATGGCGCTCATGCTATGCGATTCCGTTGTTGTGATGCACGTGTTACTGTGCTACCTGAATGTTATGTGAACTGTTTAAAAATGTAATAATAAAAGTTTTGAATTCTTGAGATATACTCATTAGTTGAGTCTTCTTTTAAAGTACAGAAGTAATTAAATTCAACAAACTACACAAGAAGTTACAAGTATAACCTTGTTCAACTTTAGAACTGGGCAATGGGATAAAGGTGAAATAATTTCAAAACATAAAGCTCATAGATCATATATTATAAGAAATTCAAATGGGGAAATATTGCGAAGAAACAGTCGCCATATAAAATTTTCAAAATCACCTTACAAAGTTAATAATGATTATGATGATATAGTATTAGATAAAGAGGGAAATTCAAATGGAAGCCCTGAGAATGTTTCTGTGCCTGTTAATATAGGAAATCAACAGAATAATCTATCCAATAGTACAATAACAAGAAGTGGACGGTTGATTAGACAACCTTCAAGATCTAGAGACTTTGTCATGGAATAAAATATTGTAACGTATTGCATATATCATTTTTATGTAACTTTTTTGTTATTGTATGTCATATTGTAAATATACTTGTATTGATATTATTTGGTATTTTTATTATTGTTTATAAACTGGAGGAAGGGATGTGATGTATATTTAAAATAACTTTAACTTTAATGGCGCTCATGCTATGCGATTCCGTTGTTGTGATGCACGTGTTACTGTGCTACCTGAATGTTATGTGAACTGTTTAAAAATGTAATAATAAAAGTTTTGAATTCTTGAGATACACTCATTAGTTGAGTCTTCTTTTAAAGTACAGAAGTAATTAAATTCAACAAACTACACAAGAAGTTACAGGGACACTATGAAAGTCAGATTGGTTTTCGATGCATTGTCAAAAGGTAATGGGTGCAAATCTCTTAATCAATGCTTTAATCCTGGGCCACCGTTGAATCCCAGAATTTTGGATGTAATCTTGCGATTTCGCGAATATGGATATGCATTCAACTGTGATATTCAGGGAGCATTAATAGCGGAAGAGGATAGAGACTATTTACGTTTTTTCTGGCTTCCAGATGAAAGTGATTTAAAACTTACACGATTTTACGAGTGAATCGCGTTCCCTTTGGAATGACATCAAGCCCATTTATCCTTCCTGCGACTATTAAATACCACATTAGAAAATATAAACTTGAACAAAGCGAAACTTGTGAAATGCTTGACTTGGCATTTTATGTAGATGATCTTTTTACGGAGCAAATACAATAGAGAAAACTTTAGAACTTTCACAGAGCTCTGTAAAAATTCTTAAAGATGCGAACATGAATTTAAGAAAATTTAATACTAATTCGGATGAGTTGAGAAATTTATGGAGTGAAGTGCCCGTACCTGTATGCTTTTCTGAAGTTAAAAGCTCTTTTAAGTAAGTGGATATGTCGGGGAAGTTTTCTGTCTTTCCGAATAGCGGCCGACTTCCTTGAGGGTGCGGGAAGTGGCAGACCTACAGTTATCGATGACCCGGGGTGGAAATCTTCCTCTTCCCCCTTTATTGTAATGATCACTATAGAAAATGTCAACATTAATAAGTGTCATAAATGTACTCTGAATACATAACATGAGAACTCATGAATTGTGCACAGATAATGAAACATGCGTTGAACCTCAGCTACATAAACTCTCAAAGTTCATAATAATCATATTGAAAACATTTTATTAACTCTCACATGTTAATAAAATGTTTTCAATATGATTATTATGAACAGTTTAATTAACATCACTCTGATAGTACGCAAAATATCAAACGAATACTCAGTTTTTCGAAACGTATTTTTCAGCATTTCTAGTGTCGTTGTGTGAATGGGATGAATGGGAAATAGCGATAGCGAGCTAATTTTTCTTGTCCTTTATGCTTGATCAGATAGCCTGGCTCAGTAAAAGTAGGCGGCCAGTGCAACTCTGATAAAAATCCAGTTATAACCACGTGCAGTGCTGATCAGGACCACGTGTTTCTGAGACTCCTTCTCCCTTTAGTTTCTTCTTTCTAGGTATTTCTTTCTCCTGATGAGGAGGGACCTTTAGCTGCCCTCGAAATCGATTGAGTGTTTCATTATACTTACGCTAAATACAAGGTTGTTTTTACGATTTTGATTGTCACATTAGCGTGTTTCTCTTCTAGTCTAGAACTTTTGAAGATAATATTTTTGGAAATGACTTCATGGAAATGACTTCATGGAAAAATGGATTCAGTATTATTCTGTAAAATGATGTTCGCAAAAGTGAGTTATTTCAATTCTGTATGAAGTGAAGTCTGACCACTAGTTATTTAAATAGCTACATCCTAATTCAGGTCGCATAAACGATGTCGTATTATACAGGTATCTCATAAATACTGGTACAGACATTAAGAGCAGATAGTGCACGTCAAAAAAATTGAGAATTG